GGGGGGGGGGGCGTGTGGGGGACGCCGAGCCGAGTCTCTTCCCGGCTCCAAGCTGGGACGGGCGACGGGGCTTGCCACGCGCCAGTACTGTCCCTTCTCACTCCATCCCCCCATCCCGCATGGAGCCTCGTGCCTCTCAACGGCCCTAAGGCCGCACCGCGCATGCGCGGGGGCCAGGCCAGGCAGTTGGGGCGCAGCGCCGCCCTGCGCCAGCGAGAGGCTGCAAGTCCTGCCCTGCGGGGTAGGGCAGCCCAGCCCCCCTTCACACCCGCCAAGTGCCGGGCAGGCGCAGAGGGGGCGCTGACTCTCACATCGGCATTGCAGATGCCCCAGAATGACCCTGTTTGTCCAGTAAGTTCCACCTTTGCACCATCAGTAATTGCACAAGTGTTCAAAGGCGCGATGATTTCTTGAGGCAGCTCATCGCTGCAGCACGTGCAAAACCCAAGTCGCTCGCTGGAAGTCTTAACTGGCTTTTTTGAGGGGGAGCATTGTTTTGTTTTAAAGAAATGTTTTGTGTTCCTAACCAAATCAGGTCCACATCCATGAGTCAGTCCAGGGCCATCCGCGGCCCCACAGCCAGTAAACATCCTCTTTGCTGGCAGCCCTGTCTTGTGACTGCTTGCCTCCCAGTAAAGAAATGCTTCAGTTTTTATGACCCGGTTCTCACTCGCTTGCTGGCAACTTAGTGTGAGCAATATAAAGTAAAGAAGAAAAGACTTGCTTGTATATTTGCTTACTGTACCAGAGCTTTTCAGCCGAGATGAGCATTTTGAGCTTCTGGTACAATGATTTCATATTTAAGACCTAGCAGTGCTGGGCAGGGGCAGCAGCACCTCTAGTCGGACACGGCTGAGGGAGCATGTTGGCTTCAGGGCTCTCTGTGCTTTTGCACTGCCACACTTCCCACAGTCCTTTCCTCTGCTGTGGTACTGGTGAGCCAAGAGGGGAATCAGGAGCTGCGGTTTGCTGCCTTTCGCCCTCTCAAGACCACAGCAAGGGGCTGCCAGTGAATCTGCTATCAGGTTTCCAGCTAAGAAAAGGCAGGAGAGGGGTTTGCAGAACGGGGAAAAGGGGATAATAGGGAGCTGGCATTTAGCTGACTAGCCAGCATTCAACTAATTATTGCTCTCTCACAAGAGAAGAGTGAGGGGTCCCCGCGTGAAGCTAGGAGGTAGGAAGCCTAAAATGAACACAGTATGTGTATTATTCAAGTGAAGCCAGATGTTGTGGAAGCTGACAGTTCAGCCAGGTTCAAACAGACTGGATATGCGTTCTTGGAGGCGAGCAGCCTCAGTAGCTACAGAGCATGGGAGATAGGGGTACAGGCCATGAATCACAACTTCCTAGGCCTTCAGTGCTGAAGGGTCGCAAGAAGAGGAGCAGCAGGGAAAAAAACCCTGGCTAGACCCAGTGCACTCCCCCTTGTGACACACCTGTGTGTCACAGGCCTTTTGATGTGCTGTTTCCTGAAGGTGGGCCTCACAGCAAGTTTGGTTTCCCATTAAAGCAGCAGTTCCCAGTCTTGGGGTCACAACAATAAAAAATGGGGTTGTGCACTCCCAGGAAAGGAGGAATGGGGGTACATGTGCCTCCCAGATGTGTGCTGTGTCAGTGTGTGCATGCACACGTGCCAATGATACCAGTGTGCTGCGTATATGTGTGCACTCACACTTGTGCCAACACCATTGTGTGTTCTGTATGTGCACATACATACACACACCTCTGACACCACTGTACGCTCGGTGTGTGTGTGTGCGCGTGCGTGCACTGGTATGCCACCAACACCACTGTATTCTGTGTGTTCTTGCAAATGTGCCCCCATACCATTGTCCTCCGTGTGTGCATGCACATGTATGCTCCTAACACCACTGTATGCGTCCATGCTCTGTTTTGTTGCATTTTCTTTATATTTTTCACTTCGAAAGCAAACCTATTAATAAAACTTCTCAGAAACAGCTTTCTTGAAAAACTTGAAACAAGACAAAGAGAGAATTAGCTGCATGTATGTCCTGAATGGTCTTTTCACCCAAGTTCAATAGTCTTGTCAGGGCTGCCATAAGTTTATGGACGTTCTATTAAAAAAAGAGAAAGACAGAGAGAGACACAGAGAGAGAGATCAGGCTAAAAATGCCTCTCTGTAAAGTCTATAAAAATTGAGCCGTCGATAAAAAACAACCGAGCTTCAACTGCTTTGTGCAGCTCCCTCTTGGACAGAAGCTATACAGCCAGAGCTTGGTTGAAGGATGTACAGAGCATAACAGCACTCTAGGGTCCAAGTGGGAGTGCAGTACCTTGCAAGAAGCCATCTTAGGGTTTGTAGACCTGTCTCCCTTTAGCCATGTGCTGCTGCTGCTATCCATCCTACTGGCGTGTAGCTGGTAGGCTTCTTTGGAGCTCCATGTTAGGATCATGGGCGTGGAGCTGTCAGGGGTAAGGCTAGGGCTGAGCTGGGGGGACAGCATGGTGCAGAGTAAGCTAGGAGGCTTGGGGGTGAGTAGGGGACTAGAGTGGGGGTGCAAAACCATTGCAGTCAAGCAGATTTGCCAAGCCAAGAACAGGTTTTTTGTTTGTTTTTTTTAAACTGCAAACCTGTTACTGACAGCTTTTTTTTTTTTTTTTT